ATAGTGTTGTCACGGGCATTACTTGTTGAAGACCACCAACATGACCACCCTAAGTGGCAACAATTCATTCTGGGCAGTTGCATGGACACCATCCCAAAGAGCAAACTATAGTTGAGAACCCTGCATAGCTCATTCTAATAGTGTGCATGGACACAGTTTGTTCTTGGTGAATGCTTGGACACTGTCTGTGGCCAAACTAAACTACTATTGTTTGTTAGCTCCACTGGGTATCCTCTCTGGACAGTGCTACGTAGCCACCAACGCTTGCTTGAGTGTGTCGTTCTTCCAATGGTGGAGGCATAGATGCTTTGGACCGATATTGTAGTACCGCAATGGATTAGTAAGGATCTAGATTTGCTATTTCATGTTTAGTCTCTGGACCAAGGTGAGAATCACTAATAGTTTAGGGACCAACCGTGTAATTATGAGCTATGCACCCATGTATTGGTCCCACACTAGCAGCCTGTTCGCTTGCTCGTAAACGATCGTAAATTTCCAGCCGGAAACAGTGTTTTTCTCTCACACCAAACCAGCCAGCAGTAAATAATCCACGATACGATACGGCCTCCCGAACAGGCTGTAGAGCACTTTGTTAGCTAATTTCCTATGATGTGATTGGGACCTGGTTAAGTTTAAGAGCCACCATTGTAATTTACTCTAGAAAATATAAGTTAGAATAAAATTGTAAAGGAATTGCTCCACAAACATTTTCTAGCAAAAGTGATGATATTATTTCTCCATGATTAGTCTAAATAGCCATATATATGACAGAGTGGTAGTGTGTGATTTGAATGTTGAAACTAGTTGGTCCAAACATATGTTTTCCTATTCACAAGAAACCACTAGTTATTATGTACATCCAATTCAACCTACCCTGCTAAGTAGTGCATGCAGCCAACGCAATGCAATTTATTTATCACTAATAAACTTTTATGTGGGTAACAATTGAAATACTATGAATTCGGTTACTCTTCCTATGGTGCAAAAATGGGCTATCTTCATTTATCTCAAACTGTTGGTTTAAATCTATACTGCTTAATGACATTTTGAACTTTGTCATTGTTTTATTTCATCATTCGCAGAATATATGCAGGAAACAGTAAAACATGAAGAATTTTTCTGTGCTCATGTTTGTGTCAAAGCATAGAACTGTTTTATTACTGTTTTTTTATTTATAGTATTCTACCATATTTCACCACATGTGCATAAAACTTACCAATACAGAGTATAGTGTTGCTACCTTATTGCTAATATAATACATACAAATTTAGAGTAAAATCAGAGTTGATTGTTATCTTACATATGTTCAGCGCACCAAAGAAATTCAAGACATTAAGAAATCTTTCATTGACATCTTCACAATTGATCTCGACTATCTTAAGGTGTTGTGATATTTTGTTCGATTTCGCTGATGCATCAGGGTGTCCTTTCATTTGCACTTTAAATTTGCCTCTAGCGGGCAGTACCTGAAATGAAGTCACCACCGAGTTCAATGAATAATAATTGACTAGAACTCAGTCAGCAATGCAACAGTGGTTCCCTGTTTAGAAATATTTTACCTGGTGTGGAATAAGTGTGAGCTTCTCTAAAAGTGGCGCATGTTCAAGAATACACGCTAGTGCACTGCAATCAGCTGGCTGACACCAGAAATCGTGATTGAGTACCAGGGTCTTCAACTTGGAAAATATGGGGCACCACCTCAGATCCCTTCTGAAAATAAATTGGACAGATCGCAAACAGAAAAAATATAGTAAATAAAACATGTTTTTTTTATCTGGACTACGTGAACATGCATGAAACTATATATAGTTTACTCAATAAGTTCAGATGGTGGGAATGCATGAGTGTGGAAATATATAATTTCTATCAGCAGGGATAATTTTTGACTGGAACACATATAAATTAACGGTGAGTAATCGACAGGGACAGAAGACATGTTTGAGTGTACCGTTGGGCGATCAGCTATCAGCACTAGGTCTTTAGCTTGTGCTAAACCGTCAAGAACCACACATTTTGTTGTATTTTGTCTGGCATAATCAGATGAACCTTCTTCTTCATCACTATCTGAAATGTCACCGGCCCGCATAACGTGATAACAAGCCATGGGATCTTCACAATGGCAGTCATCCGGAGATGAGTTAGTCCGGACCTTTGCCCCCACCAACTCTGGCATTCTCTCCAACAGGGGAGTCCTGACACTATTGTGATCCAGCCACAAAGAAACGAGACGTGGAAGACAAATCCGAATGCGCTTCTGATCTTCATTCGAATCGCAGGATGTGATGACGACTAGGCGTTTAAGCGAAAGAGACGTGATCTTCCTCACCGCGGCCAAGCAGCACTCATTGATCTCCAGATGTTCCAATTCAGGACAGAAATCCAGGTAGAGGCAACGGCAGACGAGCCATACGCCTGTGAGCTCTAGCAAGGTCAAGTGCTGCGAGACGAGGGGCCTGCTCCCCATCTGCAGGTAGGCGTCAAGGTACCCTTGAGCACATATGTTAACCCGGAGCATCTGGATTTGACATTCTTCCAGCACGCGGCGGATCCATCTGTTGAGGCTGGACGTGTCCTCGTCGTCGAGGTAGGGCTCGGTGTAGGGCTCGTCAGTCGTCATCGACGTCGACGAATTGAACTCCTCGGATGGGTCGAAATTGATCTCGCTCGCTTCGAGGGACGCGAGCTCGAGCCCGTCGAGGCGGACGCGAAGCAGGCGATCCACGAATCCCCGGACCTCACGCACGGAGTCGCCCGTGATGCGGAGGCGTCTGGTGAACTTCCAGACGTCGCGCCAGGTCCGCGCGAGGACGCATGTTCTGATCGCCTCCTGCGCTGGCAGGAACGACGGATCTGCGCAAGGACCTCCTCCGGAAGCTTGCTGAGGCAGTCGGCGGCGGGGTCCATCACTAGAGGTGGCCGTGGTGCCGCGGCAAGGGCTATCTTCTTCCGCTGCATGCAGGCAAGATGATGACCGGTTCACTCACCTGATAATGGCCGGCGCGGAAGAGACGCCTCGCTTGTCGATCACTTCTCGCCGCCGATCTTGCAGTCGTTCTAGTCGTCGCTTCAAATAGCCAGCAGCAGCTAGCGGCGGCGCTTAAAAGCCAGCGCAAGACCCAATCAGCGAACCCCCTTGGGTCTGTTTCACACAGGCCGCTGGATCGCTGGATCCATCGGTTTCCATTCTACCCGTGCAAATCGTTGCTTCCTTCACTTCTCGCATGCGATCGTTGCTTCCCGTACCGAGAAGAAAACAAAACCACGTTTACACCGTTTTTTCAGGGCTGCCTTCTCTACGCGAATTTCTTCCAAAAAAAAAAAACAGAGCAAATATCTGTTTATCACTTCTCATAATCACAGTCATGTATTGCCTTCCTTTCACCGTCACCTTCCATCTCTTTTTTCCCTCGCACAAGGACGACATGGTTTCTCATGGTATCACGGTAGACAGACACTCTACAAAACGGACAATCACGGCCAGAATATCTCTGTCATTTGTAACATTAGTGTAGCAAAATTTTTTATATTAAATTAAAAGCCCTGCGTTATAACTCACAAGCCATGTTTTATAAGAATTTTGGACCATGCCACATAGGCAGATGGCACGTAGGATAAAAAACATCATAAATTTTGACATGACATCGAGTTCACAGGTCATGAAAATATTATAAAACTAAATTATGGCCTGTTAAAACTCATGTGGCAGATAGGTTTATAATACTGTGCCAAATCGAGTTATAGGGCTTTATTTTTTTAGCCTAGCCTATTCTATTGTTTATGATTTTTGGACCCACCTTTTTCTATTTACACGACTCAGGTTCCAAGCCCACTTCAATGCACCACAAATCACTTTGATCGGCCCATCACTAGTAACCAGTCGCATACACTCCAGCTCCAGGAGCTTCTCCGTGTTGGGAATCAGTTGATCTGAACCAGTTGCATATTTTGGCATGATTATACAACTGCAGAGCTGCTTCTTCGATCGGAATCCGCTGTGTCTGATGACAGACCTCCTACTATTTGTCTACGTATTTTATTACAGGATACTTAATGCCTCTTAAGGCGAGGATGGGGTCTAGTTATGGAAAAAAGAAGGGGCGAATTAGATTTTTGCAAATCTAATAACATGGCCAGTGCAAACAGCAATGTTACCAAATCGGCAGTAGTACTCTGTTTACTCGAAACAGAGCAACCTCCTGCCTGCTACTCTGTTTTGCCTGAAGCACGGCAAGTTTTGGCTCGCAAGCCCTACGTCAGGTCAGACAAATGGCTTTGTTGGTCCATGCAGTTGGCGTGCAGTGCAGCTGTTCAGTTTGAGTCACCCGGATGTCTGACCCTAGGCATTTGTCCGGACACTGCTCCCCGCGCCCCGTGCCTGCACCATGCTGCATGCCCCGCTCGCTTGGGTTCTACGCCACTCGAACGACCCCACGCGGGCTCACGTCGTCCGAACATCACCAACATCGAGAAGAGAAGGAGACCGAGGCGAGGCAATAGAAGGCGAGGAGAGAGATGCAACACCCGATCTATTTTTGAAACATCCAGATACAATACTTGCAACATACGTATGAAGACAGATGAAACATTAGAAACATGCACCTAAAACTCTTGCAAACAAACACATGAAACACTTGAAAACCATTGCAACACATACGCAACATCCAGATACAACACTTGCAACATATGCGTGAAACATATGCAACATCCAGATAAACATACTTGCAACATACGTCTGATAAAACAGATGAAACATTGGAAACAAACGTTTGCAACATAAGCATATGCAACATCCCGATCTACTTTTACAACATCCATACGAAACCTTTGCAACATACTCTGAAACAACTAAAATACTTAAAGTATACGCATGCAACATGCGCTTTCAGCGCAATGCCACCTTGCTGCTTTGACGAATGGAGCTCGTCGTTGTGGAGCTCGACGCCGGTGTGGAGCTCGATGCCACAAAGTGAAAGGAGGTCGTCGGTGCCCGTGATGGACCACTAGTAGAAGAAGGCCCTGACGCGGATGCCGTCAAGGCCTAAGATGTAGCTGTCGTCGAGGGAGCCCGTGAGGCGGTCGCTGAAGACGGCGAGGTAGCTCCACGCGGGCAGCATGATGCGGCAGCTAGAGTGGAGGTCAACGGTGAAGTACCCGAAGCCAGCGTGGAGCATGCAGACACATGCGTTGGCCGAGAGCAGGCTGCGCGAGAAGCCCCGGAGGTGGAGCTCGTCATATGCGGTGGTGGCGTGCGGTGACGAGGTGGAGTCTGAGCGGGCGAGTGGGAGCAGGAGCGACGCTGCGAGGAGGGCGGCGAGGAGGCAACACGCCATCGTGGGTTCGTTGCACAGGTCAGAGACTAGGGGTAGAGCTATGGAGGCCTAGAGGGTGGAGAGGAACAAGAGAGACGTGTTGGGGCGGCGGAACAATCCATAATAGAAGAGTCAAGCGGTTGGAATGTCCGGACGAGAGTCACGGGATGGACCCTATGGTTGCCTGGGCCGCTCGTTCGTAGACACGGCAAGGAGGCATCCAGACAAACAGGACGGAAGTCCTAACCCAACATTATCGTTAACTATATGGACTCCACTAGTATTTCAAAGTGCCCATTTGTCGGTGTTTTGTAAATCGGACTAGTTGAAAGCTCTAGTTTGGTTTTGATGAATTGATCAAACCCTAGGTGCTAACTTTTGCTCTAAGTATACATCAGATAGGTTAGTGCTAATCCAAGAGGTGGATCAAGTGGATGATAATCATGATGATGATGGAGGCCATGGTGATGATCAAGTGCTTCGGACTTAGAAAAGAAGAAAGAGAAAAACAAAAAGCTCAAGGCAAAGGTATATTTGATAGGAGATCTTTGTTTTGGTGATCAAGACACTTAGCGAGTGTGATCACATTTAGGATAGATAGCTGTACTATTAAGAGGGGTGAAACTCGTCGTGAAATAAGGTTAACAAAGTGCCACTAGATGTTCTAACTCATTGCAGATGCATTTAGATTCTAGTGAGTGCTAACATCCTTAAAAATGTTTGTGAAAAGTTGCTAATACACGTGCACAAGGTGATACACTTGGTGGTTAGCACATTCGAGCAAGGGTGGAGAAGTCTGAGAAGAGGAGTTGATTTGGAGGACCAGACCCTAGGTCTCGGGCCAACCAGAACCAGGCTGGCAGAGTCCGGTCCCTTCTCTGGAATGGCCACGTGGGTGTTGAGTGCTTTAGACCCAGGCGTTGGGTACAACCGGACCCAGGTGCGAGGGTCCAGTTATGTAGTGATGAAGGAGTTGGTGCGAGCAGTGGCGACGTGGCAGTGCGTGGAGAACCGGACTCAGGGTGCAGGTCCGGTCGGTGTGCTCCAGACTGGGTCTGGTCATCCTAGAGCGCCTCGGGAGCTCCCTAGATCCTGTCAAACCCAGGTGCACATGATAACCAAACCCTAGTCCACGGGTCCGGTTTGGCCGTTGTGACCGTTGGCGTGTGGCGCTCAGACGCTGCTGAAGAGCGACCAGACCCTGGGAGTCTGGGTCTGGTCCGGTTGTAACTAACACGTGGGTGGACTTGACCGTTGAAGATCGACGTTCGCGGTTGAATGAATGGGATGCGTGGTGCTTACCCATTGACCGGACCCAGGTGGGTGAGTCCAGTTCGGACCCTGCCTGTGGGTCCAGTCGCCTCAATAACCCCCCAATCAGAGGGCCAACGACTCTATTCTTTTGGGCTACATATATAAGTGGGTTGGCCAGCCATGGCTCACACTCTTGGCCATTTCTATTGAGAATACACCCTAGTGAGCCTAACCAATCCTCTCTCACTCATTCTACTTGATTGATTCATCATTTGGTGAGATTGAAGAGCATCCAAGTACATTGCTTTGAGTGATTGCATCTAGAGGCACTTGGTGATTGTGTTTTGCTACGATTTTTGCTTGTTACTCTTGGTGGTTGCTGCCACCTAGACGGCTTGGTGCAGCGAGGATCGTCGAGCGGAGGAAGGTGATTGTCTCTGTGTCTGATCATGGTGATTGTGAGGGGTTCTTGACCTTTCTCTAACGGAGAGCCAAAAGGTACTCTAGTGGATTGCTCGTAGCTTGTGGATCCCTATCTTGTGTTGGTTGTGCGGCACCCGATTGTGGGTTAGGCGTGTGATGCCTATTAGCACGTGAACCACCAAGTTGGTGAATCACTACAACGAGGATGTAGCTTGCCGGCAAGCAAGTGAACCTCGGGGATAAATCATTGTGTCATCATTGTCTCTGGGATTCTCATTGTGATTGTTTGATTATCTCTTGCCATGACGGTACGCAACTCACTACCTCTCTTTGTATTTACTTTCCTAGTGTAGCGAAGCTCTTTAGTGTAACTATGGGGGTATGACCCCCGATACCCACAAGGCTGTAAATGGGCTGAGCCGCTAGGGAAGGCCCAGCCCACAAGACTACGCATGGGTCACGCTACTAGTGGAGGCCCTGCTTACAAGACGACGCCGCGTGAAGCATGGCGCAGGTTGGCGTGCATCACAAGACTACGTGAAGATCCTCGGTGATCTGGGAAACCTACTCGGGTTTGCTAGATCCCATAATATATGTAACTTTCTATCTTGAAATCGATCAAGATAGAAACAACCGATCTGTAACCCTACCCCCGGGCTATATAAGGTGGGTAGGGACCCCCTCCTTTTCATCTGATCATACGCAATACAACCCACTAAAAGACACAAGACGTAGGGTATTACGCCAAGTCGATGGCCTGAACCTGCCTAATCACTGTCTCTTGCGTTCTGTGTCACCATCCGGTTCCCTCACGCGCACCTCCACCGATTCATCTACTACCGTGGGCATACCCCTCGGTAGACTGTCGGCTAGATTTTGTCGATAGTAACTAGTTTGGAGAGCTAGCTTGAGTCTTGTTAGTTTGGTGAGTGAGGCTCTTTAGTTAGTCTTTGAGAGCTCACTAACTTAGAGAGTAGTGACTTTGCCCCTTTGTGTTAATTAGAGATCATAGCAACTAGAGTTGTGGATAGGTGGCTTGCATTTTTAGTAGGCTAGCGTAACACTTACTTTGTCTCATATTTGTCTAACCACTTGGCTTAGTGTTGTTGTACAAATTTTTTATAGGCTGTTCACCCCCATCTAGCCATTAGGACCTTTCAAATGGTATCAGAGCCGTAGTCACTGTGATTTGAGGCTTAACAACCTTCGGTGTCAAAATGGCTCAAATCAACAATACCAAGAAGCCACCCTAATTTGATGGCTCAAATTATCCATATTGGAAGGTAAAGATGACCACCTACATCAAGTCAGTCAATAGAAAGGTATGGAGGGTGGTGAAGACCAAGATTGAGATAGCCGATCCAGAGACTCCCACCGCGGCCAAAGAAGTGCTACTCCCAAACAATGGCATTGCTCTTAGTGCCATTCATGATACTTTGAATGAGAGGACAATTGAGCAAATCAAGAACATTGAGATGGCTCATGAGGCATGAAAGAAGTTGGAGAAATCATTTGAGTGCACTCAGGCAGTGAAGTGTGCCAAGGCATATATCCTCAAGGAGAAGTTTGCTAGCTTCAAGATGATGGAAGATGAGAATGCGTCGGAGATGATCCATAGGCTATAAGTGCTTGTCAATGATCTCAAAGCACTTAGAGAAGAGGTGAAGGACAAGGACTTCTCCCACAAGTTCTTGAGATGCTTGGCATCAAGATTTTGGCACATTGGTCACTATTCTAGTGAGAAGTGGTTTGGACACCATGACATCAAACCAAGTATTGGGAGATATGATGACCGATGACACTTATAGAGATGATGATGAGAAAGAAGATAAGAACAAGAAGAAGAAAGATGACAAGAAGGATGAGAAGAAGAAGAAGAGTGTGGCATTCAAGGCCACATTATCATCCAAGGGTAAGGCAAAGCAAGAAACATCAAGTGAAGATAAAGATTCAAGCTTTGATGAAGTTGATGATGAGAAGAGGCTCTCTGTGTGAAGAGATTTGACAAATTCATGATGAAGAAGGACTATCGTGCTAGAAGGAAGAAGTCATCATGAAGGAAAAAGGATGAATCAAGGAGGTGCTTCAAGTGTGGTAGCAAGGATCACCTTGTTGCTCAATGCCCCTATAATAGTGAAAATAAAGATGATGATGAGAAGGGCAAGAAGAAAGACAAGAAGGACAAGATAACCTTCAAGAAGAAGAAGAAGGGTGGTTCATATATGGTCACTTAGGATAGTGATGCTTCCTCAAGTGATGATGATGATAGTGATGATGACAACACCACCAAGAAGAAGGCTCTTGCAAGCATTGCTATAAATGAGAAGCCTCTCTCTTCGACACTCCATCGACTTGCTTCATGGCTAAGGCCACTAAGGTACAATCTCATGAGGATGGATGTGAAAATGAAAGTGATAGTGATGATGATGATGAACCAACTAAAGATGAACTAATTGACATGCTAGAAGATGCTAAGAGTCACTTTGACATCAAGAGAAGGGAATGCAAAGACTTGCGTAAGAAACTAAAAGCCCTTAAGCAAGCCTTTGATGAGCTCAAATGCTACTCATGAGAGTTTAAAGGAAGAACATGAAGAGCTTGGCAAAGCTCACAAGAAGCTTGAAAAGGCTCATTCCACTCTTGTTGAGCAAAATGAGAAAGTAATTGTAACATGTGATGTAGGCTTGACATGTGACATAATTGATGAATCTTTCTATAAGCCTATTGTTGTTGCTCCCGCTAACCCTTCTTGTAGCTCATCTACCACTACTACTTCACCTATGAGTGATGGTTTCACTTGTGATGCCTCACTTATGGTTGAGAATGAGACCTTAAAGAAGGAGGTCAATGAGCTCACTAGCGCCGTAGGCAATGCCTATGGTGGTGAGACCCGCTTGCTAAAGTGCTTGGGTATCCAAAGATTTTCTCTCAATAAAGAGAGATTGGGCTATACCCCTAAGAAAGGCAAGGCGGTATTTGCAATTCGCAAAGCTAGCTTTGTGAAAGGCAATGGTCGATTTTGCAATACATGCAAGCAAGTTGGGTATGTAGAGCAATATTGCAAGAACAAGAACAAGCAACCAAATGTATCCTTAATTAAGTTTGATTCTTGTTATTTGCTTACCAAGGGTGTGAATGGAGTGAAGGCTAAGTTTGTTGGTACACCAATTGTGGGCTCAAAAAAGAAAGCCATTTGGGTGCCAAAGAGCTTAGTCACTAACCTTCAAGGACCCAAGCAAGTTTGGGTATCTAAAAATAATTAATCTTCTTTTGTAGGTCAATTACAAAGTCGGAGGAAGACATTGGGTTCTTAATAGTGGGTGTACTCAACACATGACCGGTGA